GGAACAGATTTGGTTTAAAAGAAGGTGAAATAACTAATGCACAGCTAACCTGTGATTACTGCTGCTCTTGGTGTTTTATAACCACAAAAATATCAAATGCTGTACAGTTCAGGACTTATGATGTTGGGGGGAAAGCAAGGTTAAATAGCATCTCACACCTTTCACTTCACATCTCATTATTCATTGCTAATAGAAGCCTGCACCATCTGTCTCCACGCAGAGCATTTGTGTGTGACAGGCATGGTAGATGTTACGAAACTTCCACTTTGAGATGTTTATTTATGGCTGCTCTGCTGTTGGCATCCCTGCAGCTCTTAAAGAAGAGACCACCAGCTCAGCTGCTATTGCACTTAACCAGTTGTGATGCTGTGGCTTGCTGTACGCTTTCTGGGCAATCAGGAATGGATGATGTTTCCTTTCCTCTTACATTCTGTTGACTTGTAAACAACCTCCCCAAAATCCTTACGGATTTTTGTCACGTATTAGAAGTGCTTATCCGGCAACAAACAGAGTATTTTTGCTGGTATCTCATAGGGTGGCTTTGCCATACTTCATTCCTTTGGTGCTGGACATCTGGCTGACACCCGGGTAGGAAGCAGAATACCTCAATGAGATTGCAGTGCTGTTGTGATCATTCCAGCAGTGCCTTAGTACCTCTCACAGGTGGTATTCTGATGCCAGAGCTGAGCAGGTGGGACAAGCTGGTGCAGATGGTGCCCAGTCACCCCTGGAGGTGAACTGGGAAGGGAGGAGCGAAGGGCATTTCCCTGCAACGTAGCGTGCTCAGAACTCCCCAGAATGCCTCCTCTTTGTCTTCCTGCAGTTTTGCTGTAGAAATACTTAGAATATCAAATACCCATCTTCCCTGGAGGGAAAGAACTGCTGTGGGATTTTTATTTTTTTTTTATTCTTTTGTGTTTTCTTACTGCAGCAGTGAGGAAAAAATATCCGCTTGTTTCCATCAGTTAAATTGACGCTTGCAGAAGATTTAACAAATACTTCCTTTCCAATCATTTATCAGCTTTGTGAATTTGAGCAGTAACCGAATGGAAAAAAAACACAAAGGGCTGTGTTGAGTAGAATTGCTCCCCATTCAGGTTTTGGTGATTTTGGTGGCTGTGGTGCAATTCAGCTCTGTCAGTTGTTTGCAACCCCTTCCCTCCGCAGAGGAGAGGGACTTTGTATTTCTGAATCAAACTTGCAATAGGTGAGTCAAAGATAGGAAAGGGAACAAAATTAACATGGTGCTTTTTTTAGTCTGTAAATAACTATAAACCTGGGCTCTTTGCTTTAAGAAGCAGAACAACCCTGCTGCAAGAAGCAGAGGCATACAAATTGTAAATAAGGGCTCCAGCTTTTGCTAGGCAGCACGCACTGCAGCTGGCATCACAAGGAATAAATGCGAGTGGTGGTGTATGGGAGCAGGGAGCTGTTTATAAAGCACAGGAGCTGCAAAGAGGCACGAAGCTTTGCATCCTGGATCGGAATGTCCGTATGCTGTGTGTCTCTACGTGAGCAGCCGTTCTGAAGGACAGAGATCAATGTAAATGCTGAATAATTTAAGGGAAAAGTGCAGCACGCCAGGCATTAAGCCTGGCCACTTAAGTAAGAGATGATAGATTCCTGCAGAATCCATTTTTCTCACTTTTTGAAGACGTTTTAGGGAGACAGCCTTCCTAAGGGGATTGAGGTCATCACTCTTTCCTTTTTAAGACCCGGTGAATTGCCTCTTGGACACTTTATCTTATGAATGACATGGTGTTCAGTCAAGGGGTTCTGCTGACAGCATAAACCACACAAGTACAGCTCAGTTTGTGAACATCAGCAGAATCGCAGATTGAAATACCACTGTAGCGGTTATGATTTAGTCATGGAATGTAAAGAGTTTTCAACAGTAAATGCATCAGGTTTTGAAGTATTTTTCTCCTCTGCAGAGCTCTAAGTTAGATACCAATGGGATATCAGTATTCATGTTAAAGAATGTTTTCCAGAAGATATTTTTCCTATTTTTGCCGCTCTGATGTTGTTCATATTCAGTTTTTCTGCTATCAATAACTGTGGAAGCATTCCGAGCAGAGTTTGCAGAAATTGCTTTGTCTGTGTTTTATTCCTCTATTATTTATTGGTTGGCACTAAAACATTATTATTTCTCTGTGTCCCTGTTAAGATACAGCTTTGAAAGATTCTATCCCAAGGTGCAAAATCGGCAGTTTTCTTCTGCTGATTAATTTGCACGAGAACAACTGTTTTCATTACAGGCAGCTGATCTGAAAGTGAATCCTTTGGAGGTTGAATGTTAAGGATTTGTAGTTTGCTTATTTATTTCTCTATTTAAAATACTTAAGGAGACAGATCTCAGACGTGGTGAAGCAGTGCTGTTTCCTTTGAGGCAATGCATGTGATTGATACGGTTTGTTTCAGGGTGAGTGAGAAGCACCTCACTGCAAAGCCAGGCTTGCAGTACTCTGTCTTCATTGCTGCTAAACTCCCTGTAAGTGTTGCCTAGGTTTCTGGAGTGCTGCTCATTCCCTTGTTCAGCAGGAAGCCGAGCCATTGCATCGTTTTATTTTCCTGGTGCATGGCAGGGAAGGCACGCACTTTCCTTCTCAGTCTTCAAGGATGCATGGGAAGAAGTGAGAGGAGCCCACAGTGTGGCTGTATGATCTGTGCTGGTGCAAGATGGGATGTGACCATCCTTAGGGGCTGCTGATCCTTACTGCAACACTGCCGGCAGATTCATGGGAATCCAATAGCAAATTTGGGGTGCAGAGATGAGGAGGAACATTTGCAACCTCAGCATTGAAAATAAAACTTCAGAACTCACGTGGGAATGGGTGGCACAGTTGCTGGAGTGCTCTGCTTCCAAAGGTAGATAGGTTAGGTATGGGTTTGAGGGGGATGCACGTCTTACCAACCTCCTACAGATGTCAGTTTCACAGCACCTTTTTAGAATGTTTTGAGCTGCTACTGCAGATCTGAACCAGCAGAGAAAGGCAGCAGATGGCCAACATTCCTTGTCTGGGATGGCTCTTTTGTGCGTGGCTCCCTGTGATCCTTCTACCCTATTCTTTTGGGAACACGGGAGAATCTTAAGCTATGCTTCTCAAGCAACAATTTTGTCAGCGTAAGCATTTTTCCCAGATCAGTGTTTTTTAATAAACCTAGCAGTACTGTTTTACAGGCCTGTGATGCTGGATGGCAGTTGACCGAGATGAATAATTGATCTGGAGGTTCTGCAACCCCTGGCTTCGTTCTACCCAGTGAAGGAGCTGCTTTATTAGGATGGAAGCCATTCCATCTGTTGGGAAGGATGTTGAGGTAGATTGTTAGATAACACGAAGCTGATGTTCTGCAGTGGGCCTTCGAAAGTAGAATTTGAAATTCTGGGATGTTTTTATTTGGTTACGCTTAAAATCTGGTAGCAGGGAGAAGTTAGAGTAGTACGAGAAACAAGTTGCTTAACTTACCATCTGCAATGAATCTCTATTGGCAATACATGTCTTTGAGCTGTATATTTTGCCACTGAGCTGGAAAATTGTTATCATTTGTGAAAAGGCTATTTTTAGTCAGCAACATCTGTGGAACACCATTTCCTCAAACTTTCACTGTCTTTTGACAAGTCAGCCAGATGTGACTCACTTGAGCATATTGGGTGGAGAGGAAAAAACAATGCATTGTGTTTACCAGAAATGCAAACATGACCTTTTTAGGATGGAGGCAGCCTTCGTTCCAATCTCATGGAAGAGGCAATAAGAAAAGATGGATCGTTACCATCAGTATTAAACATTCTTACAATTTAGTATTGCAGTATAATGTTGTTGTGGAAGTCATCTTTAACAGACTTCTGTAAAAATCTCATTTTCTCTCTGCTAATTTCAGGATTGAAGGGGAAGATGACTGTTACACTACTGTTGTCACGCCGTGCGTCATTCTCTGTAATGAACTCTACTTAAAGCAAGATGCTTTGTGTCGCCCTTCATTTCTAAGTACGTGTGACAGCAGTGGGGCTCAGTGGCACTGTTTTTTATCAGGAATACTCGTCCACTTGATCAAAGATAATTTTTCTTGTTCTCTTTCCATGTCTTAGCTTGTACAGTCCAGTTGAGGTTTTCAGTGCTCCATAGTCTTTGGTTGGCAGTTATCTTGCCAGCATTGCTGCAGTTGGCTGCTGGTTCCCCTGCCTCATGGGCATCCAGTCCTCAGAGCAGAGCTCCTGATCATTGTGTCCATTTTGAAAACATTAGTTTCTTCTTAAAAGGGGGGAGATTGAGGCTGGAGATGAGGAAGAAGGTTTGGCACTGAGGGCGGTGAGGCACTGGCACAGGTTGCCCAGAGAGGCGGTGGTGCCCCGTCCCTGCAGACAGCCAAGGTCAGGCTGGAGGGGCTGTGAGCACTGCTGGAGCTGTGGGTGTCCCTGTGCACTGCAGGGAGGCACCAGGCGGCCTTTGAGGCTCCCTTCCAACTCAAAGGAATCTGTGATTCTCCATGAGTTACCTGTCTACTTTATGGATGCCTTGCTATGGAGAGTTTTTCCTCCTTTCAACGCAACTGGTGAGAAAGCTGTTCAGTATTATTGGCTTTTTATGAATGATGAGATGCATCTTTTATTCACTGTTTGGGTGTCTTCAGCATCGGGATTTCTGTGCTTCTCCAGGCTGCAGTGACATCATTTGCAGAATCGGCGCTTGGCTCAGGAGCTGCAGCTCTTCGGCTCCGTGTCCTCATGCAGCACAGAGCTGGGAGCTGTGCGGCGTGCCGGTGCCCTGCTGTCATAAAATGCTTCTGTGTGGGTGGTGGTTTGTATTGGAAACGGCTTGCAGCTTGAGATGTTACTGAGTAGGAGTTGGACCTTGACTTGAGGCCTGAAAAACAGGTTTGGCTTAAAATCAGTTGCTAACTAGTATAATCACAAGCAGATTTGTTTAAGTTGCTTTTAAAATTGGACAGCATAAGTTAACTTACAGCAGCGTATTAATCACTTGCTTCCTGCCCTCCTGCAGGCATCCACAGAGAGGAACAGACCCTGAGGCTTGTAACAGCTCTTTGAGAAGGCTTTGCAGAGTTTCTGTAATCCTGGTGTGGTCTTTGAACCATCGCAAGCTGAGGCAGAATAACCACGACAGACTACAAAACAGCGCATCTCACTGCGTGTGAGAACCTGCTGAATTAAAGTGCATCTTATCCTTCAATGCTGCCTAGTCAAAGTAAATAGACTCCAAGGAAATATCACCTGCCAGGCTTTGAATGAGGTGTTAGGAGTTAGACCTTGACATTTGATGCCTCTGAAGCAGGTTTGGCTTAAATTCACTTGTTTACTACTGCTGCAGTCATGAGCAGATTTGTTAGACGGGGCTAATTATATGTGCATGTTCCAAACTCGTTTGGAATCTAACATTTGTTGCTTTTGAAACGCTTTAAAATATGCAAATATTTCATACAATGAAGAGAACTGATTTTTTTTTTTTAAAGCAGGAATCCACAAATGGTGTTAAAAGCAAAACATGATTTCAGCAGAGGAACACAGTGAATCCACTACATTTCTTGAGAAGATGGGAGGAGGACAGGGAATCTACCTGTACCATTTGCTTTAAATGTGCATCAACCCAGACAAAAAAAAAAAGAACCAATCAGGTGGAGCATTTGTTTGCTCTTCTCTGCAGGAATTTGTTAAAGAAGTGGGAGGATGACCAGGAAATCTGTTGGGTTACAAACAGTGATCAGTGGTGATGCTGGTCAGTGTGGGCTGGCTGCTTCGTGGTGACACACAGCTGCTAAGGTTGGCTTGCAGCAACGCAATGGGGAGCTGAAATCTGTACCACCTTCAGTATTTAAGCTCTAATCTCTCAACATAAAATTGCTTCTTACTTGTATGTTAGCAAAGTTGTTGCTGCTTGAAGTTTGTGGATGTGAAAGGGGACCAGAATTAGCTTCTCTTGTTAGTAAGGAAAGCAAGCTTTGAAGCCTAACAGCTGCCAAAGCAGGACTCCTAAGGCTCAAGTGAGCTTTTTTTGTGTGTATCATTTCACCATTTCACCTGCTGCTCACCTGTTTTACTGAAACATGAATGTTTGCTGCATTTGTCCTCCTCATTCATCCCTTTGTACCTTTCAGTTGCTTTGCTATTCCCTTGGAGATGGGATTTGAGGCCAAGGCAGCCCTTGTACCTTGTGCTAGCAGCCAGAATGGATGCTGACTTCAGATTTACCCTGCCTGTTGCTGGATGCTGGCATCTGAAAGTGTTTTCTGTAGGGCAAGAAAAACCATAGAAGAAAACCTCCATGAAAGCTGTTAGCGTGATGGGAGTTGCCAGTGCAACTCATATTTAAGTCATGGATAACTTCTTTTTTCTTTAATGCCTCCTTATTTTGTTTATTTCTTTGCTTGAAACCATGTCTATCCACCAACCTTTCCAAAATGTCATGATGTAATTATTTTAACAGGCAATCTGTGCTCCTTTATTTGGGGGATATTAACCTTTCTAAACAAAAGAAGTGTTAATATACATTGGAGATGCAACTAATGGGATTTCATTTTTCTTATTAGAAAGGACTTGAATTCTCTTTTTAAATTACTGTAAAAGAATTCAGCAAGTCAAGTAATTGCCTTCAGCTAATCCATGATAGCAAATTTGAACATGAATATCCAGATCATTTTGTACGGATTGGAAAAAGCAGTGTGATTTTCTTGTTTTTTATTTGCTTTGGCTAAACAGTGTTGAAGGATGATATAAATTCATTGGAGCTGGGACAGAGAAAATGCTAATTACTAATGCACTAAGCTCTGATATGCTGTAAAATGTAGTGTTTAATTTGCGAAGCCTATCGTGGCCTGTTTATATTTCACTGCATCCCGACTCAAGCTTTGTGCTAGGTTCAGTATCTTTCCATGATAGCCTTCAAATCCCAGCTTGAGCTCGTGGGCACTTCCCTCTGGTTTGCAGTAGGAAGCAAATGAGGTGAATGATCCCTGACTTTGGAAGGATATGGCTGTTTCTGGTTCCTTGGATACCATAAGCCAACTTTGGGTGTGACGTTGGTTTGCTAAATTAGGCAATAGAGTTTGTAGCAGAAGGTGAGGATCTACTTGGATGTGCTGCTCTGGACATATTGTGTAGAGTTTGGCTCAAGTTGACTGCGTTAATTAAGTTTGCATACATGCAATCTACACTTAAAGCTGTTTGCTGGTTACCAAATAGCTGCTTGGCTGTAATGTTATTTTCAGTGCAAACACTATTGCTTTTATGAGCTGATGCTGCATTTCAAGTCCCACTTCTTTTTACTTTATTCCCCACGGTACCTTGCAGTTGGAATGTGCCGTGATAAATATCCCAGGCTCCGAAGGATTTATCTTTCAATCTTGATTTTAGAAGAATATTTCAAAGCGCTCTAATCACCTTGCTTTATCTGCAGTGAACCTAATGTATTTTGCAGTGCTCTAACTGTTTCAGCACCTCTCTTGAAGTTATAAAGAAGCAATGCTTACAGTTAACAGATACGTAATAAAATTTAATATAACCCCTTGATGCATAAAGGAGGGTAAGTGGAAAGCAAAGTTGATTGCATGTCTGGAAGAATATTTGTGCCTGATTTATGTTCTAATTTTAGTATTGGATTTTCTTTGTGATAGGAAAATGTCACATTAGCATGGCCCTTTTAATCTAATACGTTTCCAGTGAAAACAAACACCAGCACTGAGCCTGTTCTTCATGCTCCCCCAGCCCTGGTCATCTGATGACTTTGTTAGAACACAGCCTTGTTTAAGGTAATCTTCCTTCCTACGTATACACAGGGATATCTGAATAATGCTTTCCTTTCCCTCTCCAGTCTCAGAAATGCCCATGAATAAGCAGCATCTATCAGCTGCTCGGGGAGATAAAACTGTCATTTAAGTGAACGTTGCTTCCTGGGTGTCATGACCTCCAGTTTGACCTTCCACGCTTGCCCAAAGGTTTGGCTGGGGCTGCCCAGTGTGGGTGCTGTATCTTAAGGCTCTGGAGATCTAATCTGTGGTGGATCTGGAGACTGCTGCTGAACTAACCATGCTGTGCAGAAATTGACAACTCGTCTTGGGTCTGTGGGAAGGAAATGAGTATTACATTTGATTAGTAAATGACAGGTTGCAGCTTGATATTTGCATCCTTTATTAACAAACTTGTGGAGCTCACCAATAACACTATAAGCCTCTTTATTTGTGCAACTATATTGCAGCTGCCATCGTTTTTCAGAGGAAAAAAATAGTGCTGATTTCCAGACCTTCACTTTCATTTTCACGCAGTGCCTTTCTCTAGTTCTGTGCCATCGATGAGTCACTGGTTTGTCTTCTGGCCGTTCTCTGATTCCTTTGCCAAATGCCCTAAGATTTCTTTTTGAGGTGATACATGATGGCTAACCGTGCCTTAAATCCTGCCCACAGATTGTATGTGGGATTTTGGGGTTTTTATCAGGCTGTGGAATGAAATGTGCAGTGAGAAAGTACCAGCCATGTGCTGTGTACCTGTGTGGGATGCTCTGATCCCAGGGGCTGTGCCTGTCCCGGGAAGCCACCTGTGCCTGAGATGATAGAATCATAGAGTCATTAGGCTTGGAACAGAGCTCTAATATCAGGTAATCCAGCCATCCACCTACCAGCAGTATTGCCCACTGACTGTGACCCTCAGTGCCACGTCTCCACAGCTCCCAAACGCCTCCAGGGATGCTGACCCCACCACCTCCCTGTGCAACGTATGTCAGTGCATCACTCTTTTGGAGAAGCTTTTCCTGACCTTCTCCTGGTGCCGCTCGAGGCCATTCCCTCTCATCCTATCACTGTTACCCTAGAAAAAAGGCTGATCTCCACCAAAGGGGTGGGCTGCTGATTGCACTGGGTATCATTTGATCGTTCCTAGCTATGCTTACATACGTGATGCTGTAATTTTGCTGCAGGATAACGTGATTTTTTGGAAATAGATGCTTGAAGTGGCATGGCTGCGCAGTGCATTCTCCTCACGATGGCTGTGCTTGACGTGGCAGCGTCGGAGAACACGGAGCAAACAGCAGCTGAGTGCTTCGAGGAGAGCCTGCGGAACAAACATTTTTCCTGAAGGCCTTCAGGGTGAATTTACACTCGAGCCGAAAGCATTGGTAATAATGACAGTGCTGTCACCCTGCATCAGGAGCATTTCAGCTACAGCAATGCTTGCTGGTAGTGTTTGGCACAAAAAGCCAAGCTGTCGATGGCAGAGATGCTGACAAATGGAGCGGGGCTGCAGCCACCAAGCCCAGAGCAGCGCTTCCCTCTGCGTGGGGATGCGTGATGCAAACGCTCAGCGTGGAGTTGCATCGCTCTCGCTTGGGATGATGCCGTTAAAAGTTGTGCTGCTTTTGTAGATAAACACCAAGACATCCGCTTTCAACTTCACATTCTTTAACCTTGTTTTATTCCTTGCTGAGTGCTGACATTTTCAAGGCAGATGAAAATCATACTAAATTTAGCCATGAGAGAAGTCCCTTATTCTTCCTCCCCCCGCCTCCCCGCGCTCCCCGTTGCAGGCACAGCGTCTGCATTCTTTTGATTAGTTTTGCCCTTGGTTTCTGCCTCAGATGTGAAGTTTTCTAATGCAGAGCTGATGAGCGGTGTGTTTTGTATTGGAAGGGGCACGACGTGCTGCTACCATCCCATGGCCACCAGTAGTGCAGCCTGCAGCTGCAGGCCTGGTGCTTTCCATCTGCTTTTATTACTATCAGACTGCGTAAAAAGCCGCTCCACCTCCTGCTTGCAAGCTCCTTTCAGGTATTGGGAGGCCACAATGAGGTCTCCCTGCAGTTTTCTCTTCTCCAAGCTGAACTCCCTCAGCCTGTCTTCACAGCAGAGGTGCTCCAGCCCTCTGACATCCTCGTGCCCTCCTCTGGACCCGCTCCAGCAGCTCCGCATCCCTCCTGTCCTGGGCACAGCACTGCAGCTGGGGCCTTCCAGGGGCAGAGCAGAGGGGCACAACCCCCTCCCTCTCCTCTCCCTGCTGCCACCCCTCTGTTGCTGCAGCCCAGGGGACTGTCGGCCTTCCGGGCTGCAGGCGCACACTGCTGCCTCATGTCCCCTTCTGTCCAGCAGGACCCCAAGTCCTTCTCCGCAGGGCTGCTCTCAGCGAGTTCTTCTCCAGTCTGGGCTCATGTCTGGCACTGCCTCAGCACAAGTGCAGCACTGAAC